TAATGCTGACAACATGTCTGATGACATCATTGTTTATGGCCGTACCCAAGCTGAACACGACAAAGCTCTTCGTGCAACATTGCAACGCTTACGAGAAAAGAATTTGACGCTAAGCCGAGCAAAGTGTGAGTTCAATCAACATAAAATTGAATTCTTTGGACATGTACTTAGTGACAAAGGTCTGTCTCCAGATCCTAAGAAAGTTGCAGATATCAAGAATGCTGCACCTCCTTCAACGTCCACTGAAGTACATAGTTTTCTGGGAATGGCAAACTACTGTTCTCGCTTCATTCCAGATTTTGCTACCATTACGAAGCCTCTACGTGAGCTCCTGAAGAAAAATGCATCATGGTACTGGAGCGATATCGAGCAAAATGCATTTGATGCTGTGAAAGATGCATCATTCAAGTAGAGAATGCGACTGCTGCGTATTTTGATCCATCAATGGACACTGAGTTAACAGTAGATGCTAGTCCTGTTGGTTTAGGTGCTGTGTTAGCCCAACACAAACCTGGTCAACCAGATTCCAGAGTGGTAATTGCCTACGCAAGCCGTTCTCTCACAGATGTTGAGCAACGATACAGTCAGACAGAGAAGGAAGCTCTTGCTCTTGTATGGGGCTGTGAACACTTCAATGTGTATCTGCTTGGTGCGCCTTTCACCACGATAGTCACTGACCACAAACCGTTGGAGACCATCTTCAATAATCCAAAGTCCAAACCACCAGCTCGCGTTGAGAGATGGGCTCTTCGTCTGCAACCATACAACTTTACGGTGAAATACAAGCCGGGTGCAGGCAATCCCGCTGATTACATCAGTCGACATCCTGCAAACAGTTTCACCATCACCAAGCATCAGCAAGTTGCCGAGGAATATGTACACTCTGTAACCTGTGATGCAGTCCCTAAGGCTCTTACTCTTGATGAAATCCGTACTGCAACCCTAGAGGACCCAACTCTGCAAGCAACAGTGGATGCATTGACTAAGAAAAAGTTTCCACGCATCCCACCCTCAGGAGTTGACCAAGATGCATTCAAAGCACTTGAACGCATCCAGACAGAATTAAGTGTTACGCAACAACGCGACACTGTGCTGCGAGGTACTCGTATCGTGATTCCAGCTGTTCTCCAGCAACGTGCTCTGAAGCTTGCACATCAAGGACACCAAGGTCTTGTTAGGACGAAACAGCTGCTACGAGAAAAGGTGTGGTTTCCTGGCATTGATCGTCAACCAAAGGATATGCATGATGCCTGTGTCCCTTGCCAAGCTGCAGTGGATACTTCAAGACCAACACCTCTACAACCTTCACCACTACCTGCTGCACCATGGACGGAAGTATCAATGGACTTCTGCGGACCACTACCAACTGGAGAGTACTTGATGGTAGTCATTGATGATCACTCACGTTATCCAGAAGTAGAAATCATCAATTCCACATCTGCAAAGGCCGTCATCCCGAAACTTGACAAGATCTTTTCAAACTTTGGCATTCCTGAAGTTGTCAAGACAGACAATGGACCGCCATTCAATGGACAAGACTTCGTCAACTTTTCTGAGCATATTGGATTCAAACACCGCCGTGTGATGCCACTACATCCTCAAGCAAATGGAGAAGTTGAGAGATTCATGCAACCTCTCATGAAAGCGGTACGCTGTGCTCATGCCGAAGGACGATCCTGGAAACAAGCTATGTATGCTTTTCTCAGGAACTACCGTGCAACACCGCATGGAACACTGGGCAAGTCACCTGGTGAACTTTTATTTGGACGTCCTATGAGAATCGCACTACCCGTCATGCCAGCCGAGGTAACGGATAAACGTCTCGCTCAGAAGGATGCACTAGCCAAGGGCAAAATGAAAATTGCTCATGATCAACGTGCAAAGGAACAGTTCATAAAGGTTGGTGACACTGTTCTCGTTAAAAAGAAAAAAGAGGGAAAGTTAGATATGCCGTATGATACAAAACCATATAAAGTGATTAGTGTAAAAGGAACTATGGTAACAGCTAGTAATAGAGATCATAGTATAACATGTAATATGGCTTATTTCAAAGTGATTCCAACTAGTGTAGAAAATGATGAAGTGCAAAGTCGTGCAAAAGAAAAAGAAAAAATAGTTATAACCCGACAAACAATTCATCAAGGGATGTTATTGCATTTAAGGACTCTCGTCCTAAACGTCATGTTAAACGCCCTACACGATTTGATGATTAATTGTGTTCCTATGTAATGAAAAGTATTTACTTATTGTGCTAAACTAAATTTAATATTGTTTGAATAATGCAGATATCTCATTCAATATTTTGTAACTTTGTATTACAGTTTCTTTCATGTTTGTTTAACATTGCATATGTATTTTTAACATTGAAATCCTTTGTGGAAAAGATTAAGTTGTTTAAATTCTTTGTGTGCTTAATTAATGTTAAATGTATGCAGTATCTCTTGATATGTTAATAACTTACTTTGTGTCAATAACTTTGCTTTGTGCTACAAGTATGGTAGACATCCTGTATTCATTCTTTTTAAAGAAAAGGAGGGATGTCATGTTCACAGAAAATGGTACCATCCGTTTTCTATGTGCGGCGGCTGGGACGCCAGGGAGAAGGAAGGTAAACAGAAGAGCGTACAAGACGCCCGCCAAGCTTGGTAGCTACTAGTCATGTAATCATTTAAGTATTAAAGTCAGTAACCAAGTCATGACTTTACATCAACCCTACAACCAAGACTTCCTCAGTAACACACAAACACCACACTGCCAAATGTCAAATATGTGAGAAAGGTGGAATGCGTGAGCCACTTCAAGGCAATTATCACTAATAAGTTACTTGACAGTCTGATTAGGAGGAATATAGAACACTTAACAGCTTAAGTTTGCCTTTGATGATGAGGTCAACGCCATCTGTTGAGTACACCCGACCCCATTTTCCGTTTCCCGGTGAAAGGCTGTGAAATTACTGACACCTGTGTAGTTTCCTTCTTACTATTCAATGTTTACTCAGAAGTGATGTTGAGGTCACTTGGTCAACGTGAATCAGGTCACCCAGGGTAGTCCTGAACTCAAGACGTGTTCCAGTGAGAACACGTGAGCCTAATCAGTGGAAACTGTGATTTGTCTGTAATAACCAGTGATGTTTTGATGAATGGACCGACGTATCCCGGGAGAGTCCAGTTGAGTTATGAGACGGAATTAATGTTCGTTCGTTAAGGTTCGTTATAGTTGAAGTCTGTGTGGAAGCCAGCCAGTGTGTTGCTGGAGAGTAGAAGTGGTCTTGTGATACCGTGACGATACTGTGTAGGACTGGCCCATGATGCACTGAGATAGGTGAACTCGCCGGCGTGAGGACCATAGAAGACACTCAGGGAGGGAACCTTGAGTGGTGTATGATAGAAGATAGAAGTGGACTCGCCGGGTTAGAAGATCGCAGACGTTCGTTTGTAGTGTCTTGTGTGAAAGTGACATCTGCGATGTTATGTTATGTACATATGTAAGAAGTGTATATAGCTAAGTACACGTGGTGACGGTATGGTTTATTGTTTACCCCCCATTCTCGTTACCTTGAAGTGTTTTCGGGGCTTAGCGTCCCCGCGGCCCGGTCGTCGACCAGACCTCGTTAGATTGACTATTACTGCCAATTCTGAATAATTTTCCCCATGACTCTGGGTTGGATCTGGTAAAACGTCATTAAGGCCCCATAGAAAGTTTTGGATAGAAAGAACCCGGTTACTGGCTAAGTGAGGCTGTAACAGCCTCGCAACATCAACAGATTCAGTGAAGGTTGCTTGATTAACTTGGTGTTTTACAAGATAACAACAGTCAAACAGGAGAGAGAGACAGAGTGTGCTAGCCAGACTGCATCTTCCTTGATTGTCAGAAAACTTTTGACATTGTTCTTCACAAGAGGCTCCTTTTCGAACTAGAGAAGCGGGATGGTGTATCAGGAAAAATTCTAAGTTAGGGAGAGGAATACCTTTCATAAACAAGAGAGTCACAGGTATCTCCATTCTGATACCACCTGTAAGAGGTATCAGAATGGAGAGAGGTAACGAGTGGAGTACCTTAAGGGTCGGCACTATGACCCGTCCTGTCTCTTATATTGAACCTAAAGGGAAAAATAGGGTCATTCTTTGCTCTTTCTCATTTGCTCATTCTGTTTATTGATGATGTAAACTATTGAGAACAATCAGAACAGAAGACCATGATGTACCGTACATCAATCAAGAGTCCTCACAAGTGGTCTGAAAAATGACTACTGGACTTAAATCCAGACGTGTGTAAAATTATGAGGCTATGAATAGTAGTAATAATAATATTTATAACAAGTATTGAGGGTGTGATTACAATTCTTGCATAGTATAGATATTGATATTGGTTATGAAGATTGGGCAAACTTGTACACAGAAGCACACTCAAGTTCATAGATGACAGGACTGTCAACGGGTAACCAACACACAGGATTACAAAAATTTGCATTAGGGTTCAAGGCTAGTAATAGGATTGAGATCACCACGGAAGCAGTCCTATTTTCACAGTTGTCTTCGGCTCACAACTGAAAGGACCCAGGTAGGACAGAAACGTTTGGGCTCCTCGAGTCTTTTCAACGGATGCCTCTGTTTACGTAATAGTCTTAAGGTGCCGGGGGAGTTAGTGAACTACTGGGCGTTGCATCTTGAGGAAGGTCAGTAGCTGACCTACAGGGGAAACTCGTCAACAGGTACAGGCTCCCTGTCCCCGACAAGGAGAACATTTTTTTACAATGTACCTGTTAACATTGTGTTTCAATCTTGCTAGAAATTACCTACTTAAAATTATCTGTTAGATTCAGGACCTGCCCGAAATGCTATGCGTGTTAGTGACTTTACAAGAATATCAATACTATGTACTCTCATAAACCCAATGTACCTTCTTGTATATATATATTAATAAAAAAATAAATAAAACTATGCACTCCCGGAACCCCCCACTCGGACAAAACAAAATTAAACTTGAAATTTTTTAAAAATATGGCCAGGCTTGATCGGAAATTTAGGGGATTAAACTTGGACAAAAAGGCCGCGTGTGTTAAACCTTACCGCATTGGAGGAGACAAAGAGCAGAGGAGATATGATCACAACATCGATGATACTAGAGAACTTGGTTGGACACTTGGGACAAATGATTTCCGGAATGATATGGTTCACCTCACGGTTTACCATAGCCCAGGCGTCACTATTACGGTGCTTCGTTATTCTTCACATTTTTAACGGATTGGTGAATATGGTGACAATATGGGACACAGCTGGAGGCGCCACGCAGCTGGGGGCGCCACGCAGCTGGGGGCGCCACGCAGCTGGGGGCGCCAGGCAGCTGGGAGCGCCACGCAGCTGGGGGCGCCACGCACCTGGTGAGCCTGGACGCTGCCGGCGTCGTGGGAGACGTCGTAGGAGGCGAGGAAGAAGGTCGTATCTTGGGACAGACATGCGTGGTCACTCACGACTAGTCGTACCCTGCACCGGGTCGTACTACTGGCCGCCAGTACCAAGCCGTAGTCGTCCGTCGCACACTCTGGAACATAGGGAGGGGGGGGGGGTGTCAGACGTTATGTAAAGGTGTACACGAGCACAGCCCACCAAGGTGTACACGAGCACAGCCCACCAAGGTGTACACGAGCACAGCCCACCAAGGTGTACACGAGCACAGCCCACCAAGGTGTACACGAGCACAGCCCACCAAGGTGTACACGAGCACAGCCCACCAAGGTGTACACGAGCACAGCCCACCAAGGTGTACACGAGCACAGCCCACCAAGGTGTACACGAGCACAGCCCACCAAGCCCACCAAGTACACGAGCACAGCCCACCAAGGTGTACACGAGCACAGCCCACCAAGGTGTACACGAGCACAGCCCACCAAGGTGTACACGAGCACAGCCCACCAAGGTGTACACGAGCACAGCCCACCAAGGTGTACACGAGCACAGCCCACCAAGGTGTACACGAGCACAGCCCACCAAGGTGTACACGAGCACAGCCCACCAAGGTGTACACGAGCACAGCCCACCAAGGTGTACACGAGCACAGCCCACCAAGGTGTACACGAGCACAGCCCACCAAGGTGTACACGAGCACAGCCCACCAAGGTGTACACGAGCACAGCCCACCAAGGTGTACACGAGCACAGCCCACCAAGGTGTACACGAGCACAGCCCACCAAGGTGTACACGAGCACAGCCCACCAAGGTGTACACGAGCACAGCCCACCAAGGTGTACACGAGCACAGCCCACCAAGGTGTACACGAGCACAGCCCACCAAGGTGTACACGAGCACAGCCCACCAAGGTGTACACGAGCACAGCCCACCAAGGTGTACACGAGCACAGCCCACCAAGGTGTACACGAGCACAGCCCACCAAGGTGTACACGAGCACAGCCCACCAAGGTGTACACGAGCACAGCCCACCAAGGTGTACACGAGCACAGCCCACCAAGGTGTACACGAGCACAGCCCACCAAGGTGTACACGAGCACAGCCCACCAAGGTGTACACGAGCACAGCCCACCAAGGTGTACACGAGCACAGCCCACCAAGGTGTACACGAGCACAGCCCACCAAGGTGTACACGAGCACAGCCCACCAAGGTGTACACGAGCACAGCCCACCAAGGTGTACACGAGCACAGCCCACCAAGGTGTACACGAGCACAGCCCACCAAGGTGTACACGAGCACAGCCCACCAAGGTGTACACGAGCACAGCCCACCAAGGTGTACACGAGCACAGCCCACCAAGGTGTACACGAGCACAGCCCACCAAGGTGTACACGAGCACAGCCCACCAAGGTGTACACGAGCACAGCCCACCAAGGTGTACACGAGCACAGCCCACCAAGGTGTACACGAGCACAGCCCACCAAGGTGTACACGAGCACAGCCCACCAAGGTGTACACGAGCACAGCCCACCAAGGTGTACACGACAAGCACAGCCCACCAAGGTGTACACGACAAGCACAGCCCACCAAGGTGTACACGACAAGCACAGCCCACCAAGGTGTACACGACAAGCACAGCCCACCAAGGTGTACACGACAAGCACAGCCCACCAAGGTGTACACGACAAGCACAGCCCACCAAGGTGTACACGACAAGCACAGCCCACCAAGGTGTACACGACAAGCACAGCCCACCAAGGTGTACACGACAAGCACAGCCCACCAAGGTGTACACGAGCACAGCCCACCAAGGTGTACACGACAAGCACAGCCCACCAAGGTGTACACGACAAGCACAGCCCACCAAGGTGTACACGACAAGCACAGCCCACCAAGGTGTACACGAGCACAGCCCACCAAGGTGTACACGACAAGCACAGCCCACCAAGGTGTACACGACAAGCACAGCCCACCAAGGTGTACACGACATTAGACTAACAGTGAGGACAGTGACCAAGACAAGGATGTACAGTAAGGACAGGGCGCACAGGTCCTCACCCGGGGATGTAGTAGCAACTGCTGGTACAGAGATCTCTGCTGGGGCTTGTACTGTGCCATGCATGGCAGCTGTGCCTCGGCCATCCTCTGCTGTGCCGCTTGGTGCCTTCCCTGGGGTCAGGATGGCGGAATTACCTGACACTCTGGCACCCATTGCGGTGCCATCCTGTGCCTTGCCGGCCGGCAGCTCCCAGGCATCTAATACCTCATTAGAGTTGTTAGTGGCGCTTGGATTGTTCGCCGAGATGAGAGTTGATTGGCGGAGGGTGTAGGTGAAGGCAGTGACCTCGACACACCCCAGGAGTGCCACGAGGGAGAGCCACGTCACACTGGCCTTGTGTCCCTTGAGGGTATGCATGTCTCGTGTCAGCTGCTTCCTACGGTGAACTCTATACCAAATGCACCATCCTGTGCTAGAGCAGCGTGGGGTGGTGCTGGACGGTGTTAGGAGCACTAACACCTGTGTTAGAGCAGCGTGGGGTGGTGCTGGACGGTGTTAGGACCACTAACACCTGTGTTAGAGCAGCGTGGGGTGATGCTGGACGGTGTTAGGAGCACTAACACGCCTGGTGTGTGGGGCGACGCTGGCAGAGGCAACAGCTCTGCCGGTAATCCATTAATTCCATTTGATTGACTGGCGGGTTTACAAGCGCTCTTATCTCAAGATTATCCTACATCACAACGTCGGGATGAGGTTCTCAGAGGACGTGATAAGGGACTGCCAACTAGCAAACTTTAAAAGGGGAAGAACAATATTATATTCCGTCCAGCTGTCAGGGCGCCTGACAGCTGGGTGGGCAGCGCATCGGATTCGTAGTCCTGAGGTTCGATTCCCGGTGGAGGCTGAGACAAATGGGCAAAATGTTTCTTTCACCCTTGATGCCCCTGTTACCTAGCAGTAAAATAGGTACCTGGGAGTTAGACAGCTGCTACGGGCTGCTTCCTGGGGGTGGAGGCCTGGTTGAGGACCGGGCCGCGGGGACACTAAGCCCCGAAATCATCTCAACATATAACCTACCTATAGTGAATAGAATCATATTTGTAACGTTTAAAGATGTATAAAGTTTTAAAAATTAGATTTTTCTGACAATACGGCACTAGAATTGTGGATTATTGCTCTTTGTAACCTGTTACTAAATGTTACCTGTAACTACAGCTGAAGAGCGAAGGGTCAAGTGAAGGTCACGGGTCAAGGACAGAAAACAGAAGCTTTTTCCAAAAACTAGTTATACACCCATGGAACCGCCTACCCGCCGAAACGATAAATGCCAAAATGCTGCTGAATTTTAAAATCCAGCTGAACAGAATCATCAGGACAAATGGGGGGGGGGTGCCTTGGACAAGCTGCCGGCTTCCTGTCTCAGTCGAGGCCACTAGATAGTATCCCTGTTAAGTTCGTGTAAATTTATTATGCAATCCATATCCACCATGTAAGAAGAGCTAGCAACGGCAGAAGGGAAGGGCTAGTAACGGCAGAGGGGAAGGGCTAGTAACGGCAGAGGGAAGGGCTAGCAATGGTGGAGGGAAGGCAGTGATTATCTAGATGGGGGGGGGGGGAAAGACGCAGTTGTAACAATGACAGGAGTGGTCTCTGTGGCGGGTCACGTCACCACCAGGGACTTGGGAGATGTCACTCCCAAGAAAGTTTCCGGGATATAGACATGATCAGAAGGGGAGTCAATGATGAAGTCGTGAAGTAATCAAACCTAATCAACTTACTTAATCAAACTAGAAATGTTCTACAAATCAAGGGACCTAGAATGTGGAATGACCTTCCCAATCATGTTAAAGACTGTACCTCTCCCAACCAGTTTAAGTTAAAAACTAAGTACTACCTAATTAACTCCCTGTAACCTACCTTACCCCTAAAATGTCAACCCATGTCTGCTATTTTTAAACATTGCTGTTTGTCGACCAAATTGTATTTTTGCTGTTTTTCTGCCATGTTCCCCCTTTTTTATTTTTATATGTTCTCAACACAAATTATACTTTAATCTCAATTAGTATTAAGTTTTAGTGTTTTTCCTGTCCGAAGCGCTTTGCGTCATAGTGGCTTTAAGCATTGTATGTACTAGCTCAATCTATAAATCCATCAATGCTTGTTTTACACCTTGTATGTATGTACTTTACCTGAATCAACATTTGAATTTTTTTTTTTTTGTTGAAAGTAGCCTAGCGCATCCAGGTCAGCGAAGCCAGCAGTCTCCCATCACAATCCAACTCAAGGATTAAACATCTTAAACATCAACATCATGTTGCTGAATCTTAAACAACAACAATATTGTGGTCACTATATTAGCCTAAGAGGAAAATGGATGTGTTGAGATTAAGGTAGCATATAAAAGAAATATTAATTGGACTTCACTTCCCTGTATCCCCCAACCCACCATGGAGCCCAACCAGGAGAGGCACTAGGACATGGGCATCCTCAAGGGTAACGAGTACTACATGTAGGGAACCACTGAAGGCTCTGGCAACCTACGGACCCACAGGCATACTAACCTCACAGTGCCCACTTGATCCAGCCTAGGGACCAATAGATACAAAAATAAAAATAAAAATACGGCACCTAGAAATAGAGATACCAATCTTATGATCCCTTTCTTATTCCTATTACTATCTCCTTTATTACTCCTTACCTTTTGCCTCGCTTCAAGTTCAAGTATGTTTATTGAGACAAAGAAATACATCTCAAAGGGATAGAGTAGCTTAGGCTATTTCTACCCCCTTGCGTTGCTTTTTCCTCTAAGATTTCTTTCTCCTCACTGCCTGTTTATTGCCTTAGCCTCCTTCCGTCATCACGGAACAACACACACGCACCGCTCCTGTGCCACGTAAGTCCACTACGGGCTCACCATAGCCCGTGCTACTTGCCCTACTCCTGTGCCAGGTAAGTTACGGGCTCACCATAACCGTACTACTTGGAACTTGTTCCGAGTAGCTGAATCTATAACAACAACAACAACCCTCATCACATAACTTGTAACTTGTAAGTTACAACACCGCTCCTGTGCCAGGTAAGTTCACAACGGGGTCACCATAGCCTGTGCTACTTGGAACTTTTTGTTCAGAGTAGCTGAATCTAAAACAACAACTCCCTCATCACAATTGACTTGAGAATGGTCTAGAACAGACCGAAATGTCGTCGTCCCTTCACTTTCTGGTGTGTGGTTTGGTCAAGATACCAACCTCACAATGCCCACTTGACCTAGGTATCCCTATTGGCCTAGGGGGCCAATAGGGATACCAACTTCACAATGCCTAACGAAGAGTGCTAGCCAGATAAGCCGATTGGTCCACGAGGGTCTCACTGAACCTCGAGTTGTTTTACCCCAATCCCCCCACCACCAGGGTCTGCGACAGTTAAGCTCAGATGTTCAGATGAAGGAACAAAGGAGTAATATATTGGTCTCTATGCATGGCAGACACATGGGCGGTAAAGCCATATGGGCATAGTTTGCTTGGGCACTACATGGTAATGAAGGTGCAGTAGTTGTCTCTCACAGTGAATGAGAAGTCTATGAAATTATGATGATTCATATAAATCACTTATGAACAAAGTGTCCAAATCTAAATATCTTAAGATTCTCACGAGCTTCATAGATATGTGGAAACTAGAGGGAGTCCTGATCGTGGAGTAATACCACAGGTATTTGTGTACTGCAAAATTGAATAGTTAATACTTTCCAACTCAGATTACATATTTTTCATCATGAATAGTTACCATAGCCGATATATCTAGAATGAATCTAAAAAAAATTGAGCAGAATTGAATGAAAACTGTTTAAGATCTCAGCTCTGCCATTTGTCCTGTTGAAGCAATCTGGTAAACAGACAAGAAACTTTTAGAGTATTGAGTTCATTGGCCATGGTGCTGGGTGGCTATTACTTGTAGTGCTTAAGTCTAAGGGTTCAACTGGAACTTTGAATGTAGAGTGAGAGTATGGGTAGTATATTTGTTGTAGGGTTTCCCATGCTGTTCCAGGAATAATCCCGTTTTAACTACTATTGAGCATACTGTACTTTAAGAATGCCCATACTTTTTGTAAGAACCATATGTAACCCTCTGTTGCATTCTAGAATGTATAAGATAGAAGAGTTTATTGAGGTGGTTTGAATATTGAATGAAAGAGTTATAATAGTGGTTAAGAGAGCGTATTCAAGTGAATTTAAAGGTAGGATGAGAAGAGGAAGCGAGAAATTATCAAGACACCTATCCTGGAAGGCTTTACAGTATAGCACTGTTTCAGAACATTCAAAAGTTCCTAAATATTATGACGGATATCTATATGAGTACAGGAAAACATGAGCGATATTAAAAGTATCAGAATTGACGAGGATTTTATCAATTGGCAACACGAATCAAAGGAACATTGAGAAATCGTAATTTCCAATCATCAAAAAAACAAAGCATTCTTTGAGGTGGTCTGAAATGGTTAATAGAACAAAGCAAAATTGGCAATAAGGGGCAGGTCTTTGTTCCTTCAGGTGCCCATGAGTTAATTGCATATGGCCAATACATGGCCAAGCCAGAATCATTTCACACTTACTGCTTTGGTGGCATAAGTAGCTTCCATGCAGATAAGTCACAATTTGGTAGCACATACAATAATCGATATTCATAATAACTAACCATTTCTCTTCCCAACTGTTGTGGATTGCATATGAATGACTAGGTAGAAATCTGAGCAAGAAATTTGTTTCTGGGATATGGAACAGGTGCAAATGGCCTCTTCAACAATTGTGGCAGTGAGGTCATTAGGGCTGGGAGTCAAGCAAAGCAAAACTCAACTGTCTGGTAAAGATGAGGCACAGTCAAGGATGGATCTTAATCACTAGAGCATAAGTAGGATTAAAGGATTTCAGGAAAGTGAGAGCACCGAGAGAATCGGATCACTAGAATGACCAAATCCCGCTGCCACATCAAAATACTGTTCACGAGGGAGTTTTCCCTCAGAGGTCTCTGTTTTCTGTTACCTTATCAAAATGTTAAAGAACTGTATTCTCTCTCTTCAAAACAACTTTTGGACTTTTGCAGAATTCAAGTGCTTGGTCTTTCCTCACTGGTTATTTTAAAATATCTCTTCTCTTCTCTGTTAAACAATTAATTACCAAAAGCACAAAGCCCAGGCTATATAGCACAAAATATTCCTTCTATGTCAAGTAATTTATCTCATTCTGACAATTTTTAAACATTAATTTTTTCATCATCATATTAAAGCATATGGTTCTCTTCACGGTATGCTTTATTACATGTTTGTTAATACTAGCT